CCTGTCTAGTATGACCAATCGAGCTGAAATTTTTACCAGAAGCGTATCTCTCCAAGATCAGTCATCCCTGAAAATTTCAGGTTGAAAGGACCGTCAAAAGTGGAAACTCATTTCTCAGGGGTGGGGGCCCGCTTTAGCACCACTTTATATTTCAAAGAAAATAAAATCAATGATAGAAACCATGATATAATTTTAATCACTCTAAGGTAGGCCCTAATTATATACATCACACATAACATAGTTTCTAAGATGATTTACAAATACAGCAAGTTAACCGTCTCATAGTTGACTAAGTGGAGTTTTTTTACGTTCATTCTTATTGTGGATACAAATGATGCTTAAAAACTGTTTTCCATTGCAGGGTGCACAATCGTCGATTAATGTTTACAAAGGTGATCTGATAATGCAACAAGTAAGCTATTTGCACAAGCTTTCTATCTGTAGTGAACACATTTTCTCATGATTTCAGACAGATGTTATTGCTGTATGTTCTTCCTCAGAATATTTATTTAAAGCTATTTGTAAAGCTGGTGGAGACACTATCAGAACTTCTTTCGATTCACAGTCGAAAAAAAACCCGAGATATTCTGTCATCTCTGTTAAAGCTGAGGGCCAGCTCCAATCAAAAATGATTTACTTTCTTCCATGGAAAACGAATTCTGATGCATCTCTACTTCGAGAGTCTATTGAAAAATTCGTTTCTGATGCAATAGAAAGAGCAGTGTCAGAAAACTACAAAAGCATTGCATTTCCTGCTGTTGGTTGCGGTCAGTTTGGATGTTCAATTAGTCTTGTCGCTCAAGCGATGGTTCAGGAAGCGCATCGAAAGTTACAGGAATATTCAATTTCAGTTTCTTTTATCATAGAAACAAAAAGGACAGATATTTACGATGAGTTTCAAAAGCAAATTAATGCTTTACGGCCATCACCACCACTGCGATCATCACTCTCATCCTCACCCGAAGATTCAATTATACTACCACGACGAGGACGCTCCTTCTCAGCACGAGAACACTCGTTCTCGGTACAACGACGACCTCGATCC